GCGCAGGGCTCCCTCAAAAAAAACCCCTTAACAAGAACCCAGTGTAAGGATCCAGCCCCCAACCGTTTTCTAGGGTTTAGGGTTTAGGGTGTAGGGTCGAGGGTCTAGGGTCTAGGGTTCTGGTGTGTTTTGAAAACCCGGGATGCTTGCACAGATAGGCTTTCACGGCCTCTGGGGGTCCGGGTTCAGCTTGGCTTTAAGCAACTCTCGCTCTTCTGTAGATGAGCAGTTCTCTAAACTAGGGTCCCTTTTTAAGTCCCCAATATAATGCGGCACTCTTATAAAAAGGATCCTAAAAGGGACCCTAATTAGAGAATTACCCAGATGTTGTGAGGAGGTCGGGGCTGCTGTACATGAACTAGGGTCTTTTTATCGCAGGTCTTGTTCAAGCAGGTACCTCAACACGAACCCTAAGTTAGGTCCCTCATCTTGCTCTTAGGGCCTCTGTATTCGGCTTCAAAAACAAATGACTCATGCATTCTACGTCCTCGACAGCACATTCTGCCACCGAAGCTCTGAGTCCTGGGCCTCAAACCAGCTCCAAAGGAGACTTCGAAGACCGATAGGAAAAGAAGCCCTCTTTGAGACCAAACTTGGGTTGGCAACCCTAATATAGTACCCTAAATAGTAGGATTCACACTATGAGGACCCCAAAATAAGGCACCCCTTATTTTAGGAAGAATGGCTAACTTGGCTGCCAGGAGAAGCTCTGGTTGCTCTGTGATTCCTTCTCCGCCGAAGGCGACGAAGAGCCATTTTCCAAAGAGTCTTAAGCCTTCAGATGCTTGCTGTAGGGGTTCGTGATTAGATAGGGCCTTGTTCGCATGTCCTTAGTTTGAGAATCAAGACCTGCAGCACCCTGGCCCGCACCATTAACTTATCGTTGCACCAAGCGTGCAGTACATGCACCAGTCACCAGACATTGCAGACATGATGCTCGTAACATGTTTGCACCGAATATAGCGTTTCCTATCGGCAGTCGTCGTGAAAGAGGTGATGGTAGCTCATAGCCAGACCGCTGAAAGGAGCAGGTGCGTTGAGCCCGATCCCATAAAAGAGAACATGTAAATCTGGGCTGTTCAGAGGTTGAGATCTTGTTGCTTTGAGGTGATTCTGGTGCCTCTTCGGGTTGCACTATGCCAAAGACTCTTTGCAAAGCCTGGCTCTCACTGCGGAATTCCATTGGAGCTTAAACTGCTCCTTGCATACCGGGTTAGTAGGCAACGGCTCGCAGCCAAAGCTGCCTTTTGAGAGGCCTTTTCGTTGAGTTGCGCGTTTTTAGTCGGAATGCCCGCTTTTCACTGGACAGCGCAAGTACCCCTCAGGGGTTGTGCGTACAGCGTCTGCAAGGGCTTGTATCGCATGAATCGAAAGAGACTTCTCTCGTGCCGGTTGCCATCAGCGAAGCTGATTTTCCGAAGAGCCGACGAAGAGAAAGCAAGGAGACAGGAACTCCAACACCCTGAAAAGAACCCCTCCCTCGGCCCGTATGGCGAATCTCAGATCCCTAACTTTCGACCCGAAACCTGCAACACTAGCCCTCAACACCGAAATCCTGCACCGTGTATATGGGTGCGTGGTTTAGGGTTTAGGGTTTAGGGTATATAACAAGAGAGCATATCATCTAACATGTCGGGGCCGCGAAGGGTTCGGGGTTTGGGAGTTGCCATCTCGCTGAGGAGCCGTGCCCCCAAAGGTGCAAAACAAGAATGCCGGGTCCGAGGAAAGATGTAATATAGCGCCTTATTATAAATATAGTATCATATACCCCAAATGTAATATAGGCCTTGTTATAACTATAGTAGACTTTGCCCCAAAACTCTATTCTACTTATGAAGGCCCCTACATTAAGGTCGAGGCTTCTGGGGTTTAGGTTTAGGGTTCAGGCGTGGGCTTTTGGGAGTTTTTGAGATTTGGGGTTTAGGGTTTGGGATTTTTGGGCTTTAGGGTTTAGGGTTTGGGCTTTTTGGGTTCAGGGTGAAACCATGAGGTTTGTGGTTCTGGGTTTGAAGTTCTGTTCGGGGCAGATCGATGGGTTTTGGGGGCTTTCAGGAGCATAGTCCCCTAAACCCTAAACCCTAAACCCTAAACCCTAAACCCTAAACCCTAAACCCTAAACCCCTAAACCCTAAACCCTAAACCCTTGAGTCGCTAAGACAAACTAGGCTTCTGCAAAGCGGATTCCAACTGCAGGAGGCTCCGACAGGTGGAAAAAGGCGTTCAAAAAAAACCTAAGCCCTAAACCCTAAACCCTAAACCGTATTAATACCTCTCCATACTGAAGAAGTCAGTCTTGGCTTCGTCCATGCATTGACACCTGCCAAGGTATACTAACCCCAGGTCGATGCTGTCATGATGATGACCACGAGTTTTTTTTTGTTTTGTTTTGCGGGCTTTAATTTCAGACCAAACTTGTTGGGGCTCAAGCTTTAGTAAACTGAACCGAGAATGGCACCGCTTGCGTCGCCACGCAAACTCCAAAACCCGCGATTCCCTTTCCCTTAGTTACCCGGTGCACAGAGACGGAACCCGAAAGCCCAAAATCCTTCCAAGTCTCAAAACACCGCAAAAAAACGTTGAATGTACAAGATGTCACGAGTTTTGACCGTCGAAGACTTGCGCTGTTCTGGCCGCATGCGTTGAGATGCTCCCGGGCGATGCTTCGGGACGCCTGGTTGTTGCTGGTCCATCCTCTGGGGCGTCGGGTCCGTATATGAGTCGAGTCTTGAGGGTAGGGAGCCTAAGACTTGCAAGATTTAGAGTTGGTCATCATGGAGTCTTGAGGGTAGGGAGCCTAAGGCTTGTAAGATTTAGACGCGGTCATCATGTAAGCTGTTTTAACGGCTCGGGCTGTCGCGTGCGTGAAGGATCGGGGGGGCAAGTACTGGTGTCACACAAAGTCGTGGAACTCAGGCCTGGAATTGGGTCTCAAGTCAAGGATTCGGTAAGTAATGTAGGGGCCAAACTAATTACCTATACTATTTTGGGGGTTCCTTTTCATAAATATAGTACCCTAAAAACCCTATTCTGATTCTAATTATTCAGGCCCCTATAATTATTCCGGTACAACCTAGAGGTCTGTCGAGCGGATGACATGCTGCTTTTAGGTTGCATTATGTGCACCTTGTGCCACGCTGCCTTCGGTACGCCGCGGTACCACTGTTGCACCCAGTATCATCACATCTGCCGATACTTCTTCTCCAGCCACAGCCGCCGCAATAACCACAATCACTGCTACTAAGACTACTATGACTGCTACGAGGACGACTACTACCTGTACTACGAGTGCCACCTATTACTCCCACTACTAGCACCGCTGCTACTAATTCGAACTACTACTACTACTACTACTACTACTACTACTCCTCCCACTGCCACCATTTAACTGGTACTACTACTGCTACGTCCACGACCGGGACGACTTGTACGACCATGACTGTTGCTACTACCACTGCTTTCGTTGATGCTCTGTTTAAGACGGAGTTTTCAGAAAACGGTAAGATCACCAGCATGCCTAGCGAAGGCTGATCCAGCTCTGCGCGACAGCGGCGTCTGCAGAGGATGCATGCATGCCAGAGAAGGACTCCAAAAGCAGAAGCAGACATGTCTTCGGTCGTTTTCGAGCTGAGGCTCACCCACACCCTGACCCATAAACATATTGAGCCCTACATCCTGGACTCAGTTCCATATCCGAAGGCAAAGTTCGCACTTAAGCCTCCGGTTTTGTCCAGGAGAGCCAATTTCGCAAAGGACCGAGCCTAGTTCCAAGAGATCGCTATGTGAAGTTTCCAACCCAAGATCCATTTCAGAGGTTACACAGAGGCAGGCGTTAACGATATGGTCCATGTCTGTTGCTGCTGCTGCTGTTGTGGTGTTGGCGTCGTTGCTGTCGCTGTCGCTGTTGCTGTCGCTGTTGCTGTCGGCTTGGGCTAAGCCCCGAAAGCTCTAAGCCCCTAAACCCTAAACCCTTGTGTCTGTTTTGGCCGCAAGGCCGTCCTGAGTGTAAGCCTCTTCTGAGGCAGGCTTGTTCGCACGAAAAGGCCATTGCACTTAAAAAAAGAAAACCCAAACCCCAAACCCTAAATCCTACCTGAACCCTGAACCCTAAACCCCAAACCCAAACCCTAAACCCTAAACCCTGAACCCCCCTAAACCGGGCTCCCGGCGAAGAGGAGCTTCAGGCCTGCGCTTCTTGGCCGGTCGCGGCTGACTCGGAAGCGCTCAGCAGCTTCCTTCAGGCCCTCTTTTAGGGTTTAGGTTTGGGGTCTAGGGTTTAGGGTTTAGGGTTTAGGGTTTAGGGTTTAGGTTTAGGGTTTAGGGTTTTATTGTAGTTTGTTGTTAAAGGGGCTCCTTTAAAACAACCAGAGGCTTCCTTTAAGGGCCCTCTTGATGTTATTGTGTTTGTTGTTATAGGGATTGTTGTATTTGTTGTTAAAGGGATTATTGTGTTTGGTTGTTAAGGGGCTCCTTTACAGGAGCCAAAGGATTCCTTTGAGGGCCCGTTTTAATGAGGTTTAGGGTCTAGGGTATAGTAGTAAGTTAAAGAGTCAAGGAAACTAGTGCAATAACACAATACAGTACAGTCTAACTATTATAGCACCATAGAGTACAACGGAATACGAGCCCAAGTGTATGTACGTCTCCCCAGGTATGTGGTCAGCCAGGGTTGTGAGTAGAGTTAGCACCAGCTGGGAAGTACTACGACACTATGAACCTCCAAGCGCCCATCGTCAATCAATCGCGGCAAGATTTGGAGCTGTGCAGGTCCGTAGGTCAGGCAGCTGCTGTTGCAAGTTGCTTTTACAAACGCGGTACCTGCAGCCCTACAGACCCCAACGCCGACACCCCACCTATGGCTAAAAAACCTGGGTTCCTTATTATAGCTTCTATATGGAATTCCCAAAGAAGGTAGGATTTTTGGGCCACAGGTACTTCTATGTCTTTCTGCCCCTGTAAAGCGGCCTGCAGTTTCCAGGTGGGTTTGGAGACCCACACGCAGGAGCCCCGAAGCGAGCACCTGGGCGATACGACCAATAATGTAGGGGCCTACCTAAATAATTACCAACACCATTTCGGGAGGTTCCTTATTAGAATTACAGTATAATGGGCCCCACAACCCCTATTCTAATTATTCCTTTGTCATCAGAAGCATGATTGGCGTGATTACTATTCCTTGCATCATCAGCAGCATCCTTGTCCTGGAGAGCCTCAGTAGTATTGCTGCTGCTGCTGCTGCCGCTGCTGCTGCTGCTGCTGCTGCTGCTACATTTTGTTATCTTTTTCCCTAACCATCATTTACCAAGTCTTTTTTGGGCCCTTCATGTTCGATTTCGACAATGGTAAAGTATGCCAAAGGGCTTCATCCCGGAATCCATTGTTTTGGGCTGCTTTCTTTCAAGATTTTGGGGTTTGGGTTCAGGCTTCCCCAAGCCCGCAGCCCGAAACCCTAAAACGCTCAGGCACCTCTTGGCGGATCTCTTGCGCGAGCTTCTCGCTGCGAAGGCGATAGACCGAAGCCAGTCGCTGGCAAGAAGCCCGGCGCAGGCGCCTTCCCGTGTTTTGCAGAAAGAAGCCCGGAAGAAACGCTCCAAAGAGAAGGAAAAGGAGTTCAATTAAGTTAGAGGCTGATTCGTGCGGTACGTGTCCCTTTTTCGGCAGTCTCCTTAAACGCGTGCGAGGCATCGTCGCTTCTGCTTGCGCTGGAGAACATCAGCAACTGCCTTTCTGCTGATTTGCACTCTGAATGGGGACCCTTTCAGCTGCAGGAAACAGGGTTCCCTATTCAGCTCCAGGGGGTCTGAGATGGATTGAAAACCCTGCCTGCCGCCGGGGCCCACCACTCTAAACTCACGCCCAGGCACAGTTGCCGTCTGCTACGCCCTTAGCGTGGCTGTTCTATGCTTCATCTGCTTCCGGGGGCTGCCAAAGAAGCAGCCCCAACACGCCAGTGTCCGACGCGGGGGCTCTACCAGGTGGGCCTTGGGGCAGGTGTGGTAGAGAGGTTCTTTCAGGCGTCCTTTTCCAACGGATGCTGGAGCAAGGGACACACCATGAGTCATCTATATATATATATATAAAACTTGAATCGCTACCGAGTTTCGACGTTGAAAGGTTTGGGCATGAGGATCTTCAGGTTGACTGACCTGGCAGTTCGCTCTGGGGCTTGAGTCTTGAGGTTTGAGTACTGCAGTTTACGGTCCGGAGTTTTGATGTTTAAGGGTTTAGGGGAGGCGATCAGGATTTAGGACTTGGGGCTTTTGCAAGTTTGAGAGTTTTAAGAATGCAGGTCCGTTGGGTCTTATGCTGCCGAGTGCGGCAAAGGAGGACTTCCGAACTTAACAGCCACTAGCAGCTAAAGCAAAGTCTATGGTTTTTTGTCTGCCAATACTACGGTTGAATCAGGGCTCCTTCTGGTAATCTTAGTATAACATGCACCAAACCCCTATTCTAATTACGACGGCCGCTATATCATGCGCACCGTACCTCGGTTTGTCAAGACAGAAGCGAGGGTACTATCATCACACACAAGACACTGTTGATGGTACAAGTCCTGCATTACCTTAAGGACCCTAAGCTATGGGAATTATGGTGTACCCCTTATTATGGGTACTGCAGGATGTACATCAACTCTGAGATAGAGAATGGCAACAATTGCGAACTACAGCCGCGATTCAATTCATGCTATTGACACTCTTGGATTACAGATGTTACAAAAATCAGCGGTCGGATTGCGATTGCCATGTACTTCTATTACCGGTACCATTGCAACCACAGTTCCTGTTCTGGCTAATATTACCGTCAACATCGAAATCGTCATCATCATTATCACTCTCGTTTCCAAGTATACGGAGTGCCAAGACCTAATTAACCCTGGCAAATCTGCTGAGACACTACCGAGTCTCTTGCCGCACGTCGCTAACCACCCTATTATGGGTTCAGGGGTTTAGGGTTTAGGGCTTAGGGTTTACTGCCCAATCCACACAGGTCAAATTCCAAAAATCTTTCTCGTAGTCCGTAAACCCTACACCCCAAAGTCTAACTTAACCTCGGAGACTCAAAACAGTCTGGTGGTCTTCCTGGGCACCGTCTACGCGTTTGCCTATTTTGCCACAGACCAGTATGTGCCGAGCATGCCGCAGATGGAGGTCATGCTGGGGTCGAGGGCTTAGGACTTTGAAGGCTTCTGTCGCGTGAAGAGATTTGATTTGCGGTGGGTTCTAGATCATGCCAGAATTTCTTTCAGGTCTGGGAAATCGAATTCGGTACAAGGCTGAGTGCGCAAGTTTACTAGAAGGTTTGAATGTTCGATAGAAGACTCCGAAATTGTCTGCTTTTTTGGATACCAGGTTTGGTGAATGCTTTGCAAAGAGATCCTCCACAGAGGTCCAAGCTGCCCCAGCATCATTGCCGCAACGATGGTGATGACGCGTTGATGCTGCCGCTGTCATTTTTGGTGTTGAGGATGATGGTGGTAGTCGTGGTGGCCAGCACCACCACCATCATCATCATCATCATCATCATCATCATCAGCATGATGATCATCATCATCAGCAGCATCATCACCTTCATCGTCATCGGCACCGTCACCAGCATGACACTCATAACTCTTCAACAACCTCACGGATAGTAACACCGGCATCATCACCATCATGTCCATCATCACGACCATCACCATCGTAACTATCATCACGGCCACTGTTATCCCCACTACCATCACCATAATCGCCATGGTCATCATCGTGATCTTCCAAAGCAACATCATTATCGTCATCGCTGTATCCAGGGTCATTCCATCGATAGCAGGTGGACCTGCACGGCTCCCAAACGATGCTGAGTGCGACGGTGCAGCTGAACCTGGTTGTGAAGGCTGGAAGCACGAAGTCTTGCTAGTCAGTTCGTCCCTGTCCCTTTGCATCGCGCCCCGGTTGCAGGCCGTTTTTGGGGTGCTTTCCGCCAGTCTCTCCGACCGAATTGGCCGCAAGCCGGTCGCTTTGCAGCAATATCCATTGCCTCGAGTATCGGGAAGCCCAGGTGGAGAACCAGAAAGGGCTGTGGATTCTGAGCCTAAACCTCAGCCCTAAACCCTAAGCCCTAAACCCACTGTTTCCATGCGGTTGCTTGTTTCCTCTAATTATTAAGGCCTGTTTTGTTTTAAAGCAAACTGAGGCTTGAACCTTGGAGCTAAGACTCAGGCTCGGGCTTTGGAGGGTGAGAGTTCCCAACCTCTGGAGAATCAGAGGTCCTGCTGGTGGGCACGATGCTTCTTTCGGTGGCGAGCTTTTGCTGTGGCTGTGCTGGTCGCATCGAGCCTTGGCCATCAGGGAGATTTCAGGGTTCAAGCCCAGACCTTGTTTGGGAAAATGTTGCCTGTGTGGAAGAGAATAACAGCAAACAGCAGTGGTAGTAGTACAGCCGTATTTGGTCGTTGTCACCTTGTACTGCCGTTGTGTTTGTTTTTTGTTCTTATTATTGTTCTTCTTCTTCTTCTTGGTGGTGGTGGTGGCGGTAATGTAGGGACCTAAATAATTACCAATACTATTTGGGGAGTTTTTTTATTATAATTATGGTATAATGGGCCCCTAAACCAAATTCTAATTATTAAGGACGCTATATTAGTCGCCGGTGTCTTCCGGGCGTCGGGTTTCAATCGCCCCCAGCTGACCTTGGTTCTTCTTCTTCGTGGACATGTAGGGCCCAGTCCCTTCGTCTGCTTGCCTAATGTAGGCGCCTTGACAATGACCTATACTATTGTGGGGGGCGCCTTGTTATAATTATAGTATAATGTACCCTGAAACCTAAGGCTTCTACATTAGGCTGCCACGGACTCACGGAGCTTCGGGGTTCGACAAGTTGTGGTTCGCTTCGTTGCTGTTGCAGCTTGCTTTTTCTGTGTCTTGCGCTGTTCGCCGTGTTCTGAAAAGGTTTGCCATTACGGAAAGCTTCTGGTGAAGGCTGCAAAGTCCTTCATGGGTTGCAGTGCCTACTGGGCTTTCGGCCCCAGGACCCTATACCCCAAAGACCCAGCTGGTTCCCAGGAATGGTTCTTAGCGGCTCGGGTGCTCCAGGCAGGGCCGACCGAGGGGTTTCGAGTTTAGGTTTCCGGGAAGAAGGGCTTGCCGGTCCTTCTCCCAAGATGCTGGGCTACGTCTTGGTGGGATGGCTCGGATGCAAGACCACGTTTCTGGAAGGCTTCCACAGAAGCCTTCATAACCATGCAAGACCGAATCCGAGCCCGTGAATTTAAACCCTAAACCTCAAACCTTGGCATCCATGTGGTCGCCAAGTCTCTCGCTTCGTGACAGTCCGCATGACTGTTGCCTAAACCCCAAACCCCGAACCCTCGACCCA